TATATATATATAAAATCGTTACCATTTCTTTCGTAAATAAATCTTTTTTCCTAAATAATATCATTAAGAAATATTTTTCTACTTGACATACCGTATATTTTCAACGATATTTATCGTTCTGTCAGTCAGGTAGAAGAAAAGTTCATTACGAAAGTAGAACTGTAAATTTCCATACTATGCTTCCTGGTACCGGAAAATTTTCTAGCTATTTTCTTTTTATTCCCATTGCCTTCGTAATATTATACTTACGCGAGACCAATGATATTTCGCACGACGGTCATCCCTCTGAGCTTCAGTTTATCTCGTTGAGGTTAAATAAGGAAAAAGAAAGATAAGCGAGAGCCGGAAGAGAAGTGAAACGAGAGATTGAGAGGAAAAAAGACCGGAGGGGAGGAGGAAGGATCTGAAAAAAGAGAAAGAATCTACACCGAGAAATTGCGAGAAAACGTGGCAAAGCGGCATAAAAAGACTGGAGTGGAAGGGTATGTAGAAAAAGAAAGTAGCCCGAAGGGATGAGAATCCCCCCCGCAAACTGGCAGCAAATCGGACTTCAAGCTTTTTGAGCTTTACTGGACAAAGTGAAAAATCTCTCTATGCGCAAAAATAGGATAAATTCATAATTCACACATCTTTTTTCACGTAACTTTATATTAAAAATAGGCTTCATAAATCACGGATTGCTATTATACCGAATCTTTCGAGTTATCACTTTGTTGCGAGAAAACCGCGCTCGTTAGTCAAAAGGATCCCTAAGGATATTTGTTTAAGCACCGAGACCACAGTGTTCTCCACAAATTCCTGTGGAATTTACACTTCGAGAGTTCTCGTATATTTTCAGGACGGTAAGTTACTTTCCATATCGAGCGTGTTGTCGATTTTCTTAAAAATTGTGACATCAACTGCGAAATAAGTCTCTGTTTCCTTAATAATTGATAATAATATTAACATTAGATTTTATTAATGAACTCACTTTTCTTTAAGTTCAATTCATATTAATAATTTTAGCATAATTTTAGTTAAAAATATTCGTAATAGTAACTACATTTGCAATTTAATCGTTAAACTTATTTAATCATTCTTAAAACTTATTTAATCATTTTAAAATATAATATATTTTCAAAACTCAACTAAGACTACTTATAAAAGTACAATATGTAAATACAGAAATTAATTCTCCACAAGTCTACACTTTTCTTGTACTATTATAGATATCGTTATAGATATCTTCAGACGAATCATTAATATCTTTTTGCATGTAGACGCGACAACAAGATATAATATTAAAATAAAGAACAATTTATTATTTCTTTCCTATTCATGCGGCTTACTGTCCGCGTGAGAAAAAATGGACAATGCCTAGGTGAAAAACCGCACGCGAACGTAATTTTAAAGTCCATGACACGACCCTGAAATAAATGCCGCGGTGCGTCGTATAATTGCCGAGATGGTCCCCGCGCCGTAAAAATGGTAGTCGCGTCGTGAGAAACGACCCGTGAACCGAATAAACGACCGCTGTTTCCCCATTTCTCGATCGTAAGCATAGCCCACATTTAAGCTCAACGACGCAAAACTTCCGCTCGATGGGATAGCCTCTCACGTCACTCAAAAATACACGGTGGCGAGCACCGCTCGCGGTGCACACAGCCAACTAAACAAACCCTGGGTGTAGATTTATAGACGGGCGACACCCCGTTGGGAAATCAACATCGTCTGCGCTTTCAGCGATCTCGCGAAGAAGAGCGAAACTTTTCAAGTTTTCGTTGACACGCCGCTACACTGAAAGCAGGACAGATAGAAAGATAGACAGATGGATAGACAGATAGAAAGAAAGACAAGAAGAAAAAAGAGAGATCGCGCGCAAACATCACAAATATTCGAATTCTTAATCTTTTTAATAGAGATAGATCCTTTAATCCTATCAGATTTATTTTTAAATTTAAACATATGCAGTTTATATTTATTTTGTAACATATATTTTTAATCTATAAACAATAAATATGAACGTATTACAAATTAAATATTACCTATATTATATTATAATTATATGTTATATAAATTTTTTTCTTTACTTAATAAATCTATAGTAAATCTATATTAAAGCAAATAATAAATTAAAATATTTAAATACAAAATCAAGTCATTAAAATAACTCATGAATATTATCTACTATGAGAAGAATTTCTAATCGAAAATGAACAAATCGGATTCTGATCATATCAATCAGAATTCTAGTCGAGATAATCAGATGTTCAATTATGATATTCAGAATTCTGATCGACTAATATTATGAAATCTGCTTCATTTTCAACCAGAAATTTTTCTCAGTATATATATTATACCATTATACGCAGGATGTGTACATCCTACGTTATTCGTATAAAAAAATAAAAAAACTATTCACATTTATTTTTATTATTAAGTATACCTGTATTAATTTACTTTGCTTATATTGTATAGGAGTCATACATATGATTAATAATTAATCTCTCTACGAAAGATAATATATTGAAGTATCGTCCAAAAAGAGTGTGAGTGAATTGACTTGATCTCATCGCCACCTCCAATGTCAACATTAAAATTTCAAGCTGTCACTTCCCATGGGAGATGAAATACGGCGAACACGCCCTAGCTGCAATTTAATCACGTGCAATCTCTCGAATTTCTACCTCAGAGCGTCGAATGTTTTGTAACTTTTTATCTCATTTGCCATTTTTTAGTTTTGCCTATCAAGCTAAGACATGCTATGACAAAAAAATTTTAGCATTAATTTTCTATAATCTGATTGTTAAATTTCTCCATTTCTATTTATCATATTAATTTTGGAAATAATAAATAATTGGAAGATAATAAAAAAAATATTATAAAAAAATATATGCTATAATAAAATAATAAAATAATTTAAATAGTAAAGAAAGCAAAGAAAATAATTGTAGTTAAAAATATGTAAAAAAATATTTCATTTCTTATGTATAATACGAAATACAATGTCAATAATTGTTACGAACTTGTCCATATGCGACAATGTGATAAACGAAAGATAAGAAAAAAAAAGATGTAGTAATAGTTACTATAATAGAGGAATTATGATACTTATTCGCACGTGCGTTTCTTAATTTCAACCCCAACCGAACCTATTCAACAGATATAACAAAAAATGAAAAAACAAAAAAAGAAACAATAGATGTGAGAAACTCGATCATATTACTATCTAATTTTACTTTTATAAACACGTTATTTCTTGTTATTTAACATGAAAAAGAAAAAAATAAATAAGTAATATTTACTATTAATAAATTTTCATATTACTAAGCTAAATTCTTAGAAAAATATATATAAATATTAAAATATCTTTTAATTCTTCTCTTATTTAGTTCTTCTATTGTTTATACATAAAAAGCATCTTTAAATATCAGAATATTTAAAGATGCTTTTTATAATAAATAATATAATAAAAAAATATAATAAATATTTGAAAGAATAATCGAAATTGGATCAGTTTTAATAACATTTAGGAAATAATTTTGGAAATAATTTAACTTGGTAAAAATTTTTATCATTCATTATAATCTCTTCTGTAATAAAATTCCAAGCTAAAAAATTGGAAGCTATATCAACGTAGCGATATCTTTTCAGTGTTCAGGTGCAGCTTCAGGCGATTTTTCGGAACGAGTGGCAGCACTTCTACAATCGTCCTCGACTCAGGACGACTGCTAGTAGTGCGCTCCATAATACGTGACGGCCCTTTCTTCCCTGGACCAGCATGTCGACGGAAGGAAGACAAAGGAGAGGTATCATCTGAAGAAAGATATAATTCGACGCGCACGGCGCATTCTAAATGATTTTTGTCAAGCTAATCTGTAAGCTTTAAAACATGTTCCGAGGCAGCGTCTGTACTTTAGACTTAAGGCTCACTCTTTTTTGCGCGGATGATACTGCGGCATGACGACAGTGGAACGTATGGAAGTATCGCAAAGACAAAAATTCTCAGAGCTAAACGCGATCACTTTCACGAAAAATGTGCGTGAAACGAAGTGATCCCTCTCGAGATTCTTCATTTTGTATTATTTGCGAAAGAGAATTGTTTTAGCTCTCGTCAACATTGCCACTTGCAAATTAACGTGTAGCAAAAATTAAATTCATTATTTTTACAGAAAATCTAATATATATCCTAATCTTACAATTAGACCACTTATATAGTTAAATATTCAACCAATTCCATATATATAATTCTATATATATATAATTCTATATTTATAATTTTATACGTGTTGAAAATCAATGCTTTATTTAGAAATATTATTTGCTTTATATTAATTAAAAAAGGACATTATTTTAAAAATCTGTAAGAGTTTAATTAATTGACAACTCATACTCCGTCACTTCAAAAATAAAATAAAGGAATTCTGTATTACAAATGCAAACAAATTTCCCAGAAATTTTCTCGTAATAAAATTCTACGTAGCCTATAATATAGCCAACACTCATATCTACAACGTAGGGTAACAAGATCTATACGAGCCACGAGTGAGAGGTGAGCTAGGATAACGTCCGGTCAGAATTTTCTACCGTCGGAAAAGCGACGAGTGCGTGAATAGTATACGTGTGTTTGTCTGTATGTGTACGCGGAGAGGTCAGGGAACGTGTGAGATAGTTTCAAACGAGCACAGTGGGTGGATGTCGGAATGGCGGTGATCTTCCTGGTGAGGGCGCAGGCGTTAAATTTCCAGATAGCCCCGGCAAATAAGTGCGCGTAGATAAGCGCGAAAAAACCATGCCAACCTGGGGGTTAGAGAAACGGGTAAGGGGGGGAAGGGGGTACTTACGGATACTGGAAAAAGCGAAAAGAGAGCCTCGCTGTGAAAACGGGCGCAATAATGGCACGGAAATGGGTGTCAGCATACATAGCGAACGAAGGGAAAGAACGACGCCAAAATTGTGAGTAACCTATATGGAAGAGGGAATGCTTCACAATTACTAGGATATTAAGACCGTATTCAGGAAAAATCAATACGATTCAAGAAATTATCATTTTAAAAAGGCAAAGATGATTATAAATAGCACTATTTAATTTAAAAATTCATATAGTAACAAATTAAGGTATAATAAAAAAAAGAGTTAAATATTAAGAATAAAAAATATTAAAAATTCTTTTCAATATTTTAAACGTACAAAATTGGAAAGCAAGAGGAATTTTATATTTTTCAAAGTGAATTTTTCTACATTATTGATTAAATAAGATCAATTATATTCTACGCTATTTCCCGCAGAATCCGAATTTTTAATACTCCTGGGTACAATAGCTTCTATTTAAAATAAGTTTCATTTAAGTTTTGTTCTGATATATTATGTTCTAAAAAATTGAATAGAAGAAAGAAGACGAAGATTTATGCTTATGAAATTGCGTTCCATTGGCTGGTGTGACTTTTTACTATCATATAATTTTTTTTGCCGCTGTCACGATTATACGAATGGTTGCGATATTTATAGTAAGAGTGAAGGATGCGTAGCTATTCCGCGCTCTGTATATTGAATCCTGTGCAGCAAGATCTATAAATTGACGCCGTTACAGACGTTACATATACATATGTGGAAGCATGAATATTCACGCTATGAAAGATATACTGAGGCCCGAACGCAGTGAATATCGATATTCAAGATTACCTAACCGCGAGCGAAGCGTAAAATATTTAGGTCTACGTGCCGAAATGTTCTAAAAACCGCGATAGTATATATGCGACGCATTTGCATGACACGTTTATTTCATCAGTGGCTTCAACAGATCTCAAAGCTTTTGAGGTCAAAAGCGGAGGGACGCAGGCACAATTTACACGGAAGAATTATAAAATTTCAAAGTTTAAAGACCACGGAAAAATATTCATAAAGTCGCGCGCATAATCCGCAAAATTTAGTGAAATATGTATAATTATAACAAAGATTAATTTATGTTTAATTGAATAAATACAGATAAATGAATATTATATTCGATAGAATAAAACAGAATTATATATTCGAAATAATGTATAAAGATATCATATTATTTGCTATATATATATTTCATTATAAAAATTCTATATTATTTAAAAGAAATTCTAATTCAACATAGATATATATTTGATATCAGAAAATACGTTTGCAGAATATTTCAGAATCTCAAAATTTAAAATCGTCAAAGAATTATCCAGCCAATTATGACAGATTATACTTTCTTTCATATTCCACACAATATCACCAAAGTTGCACAGTCCGTGATGAAATGGAATCATACTATTGCTCGGGTGACTCATTCATCATAATTAATCACGTCGCAGTCAATCAATGTTGCTTTATTGTCTTTGTTACGCACCTGTTCCATAAAGCCTGTTCCATAAAACTTGGAATTTCCGTGCTTGAGAAAATGGGTATGGTAAAGTACAAAAGTGCGAAAATATTAAGATCGTTCAATTTGTCTTACAAATGTAACCACAAACTGTGATCACGTCAAAGAGATTGCCATGATAAAACTATAAATCTTCGAAAAACGATTATTATCACTATAATTGTCATAATCTCAGCAACGCTGAGATAGATTGTAACAATTTGAAACACTTAAGATATTAATAAAGCTTTATGAATATCCAAGAATCAAATGGCAAAAATCGAAAAAAATAAAAAATGCAATCAATAGCAATATTATAATAATGATGACTCAACAATTTTAAATTTAAAACCATTCAATTTGTAAACATCAATTATGTCGATGTATTGTATATAATATTTCATTGATTCGCGCGGGAAATCAAGTGATAGCGATCAATTTTGATCAGACGTAGCGCCACTGTTATTCGTTCTTCGCTGCTACTTTCCATTGAGTATCGAATAGCGCCATTATTCCTGGGAATATTTTGCGAAACGGTACGTTGCCAAGTAGAACTGATTGAGTTTCGATTAAATTCTCGACGATGAAAGGACAACGCGAAAGCTGTTGGCGACGAGACGCTCTTTTTCTCTCTGTCTGAAAGTTCGATTTTCCTTTCGATAAATGAAAACGCAAATCCGCGGCAGACATTTCAATGCAAATAAGAATGCTAAATGAAGCTTAGTATTCAGCTGTCTAACATTATAAAATATATTCTTATAAAATATATTCCTACATAACACTATATTGTCTCATTCATTATATCACTTATTCTCGTATAGATTTCAATCAAATATTTCACGTTATCTGAATTCATGATTAATCATGTCAATCTTCATAAATTGATGCATAAAGAAAGTCTACTGCCTTAAGCACTTTAAGATTGTCGAATTGAAAATGTACTTGATAAAGGAAAGAATATTAAAATGATCGATAAGTCACTTTCTTAATAAGTTTGATTTTCATAAGCAAATCAAATTATTAAATTAAATAGGAAATATAACAAAAAAACAATTTATCTAAATTAAAGGCAATTAAAAAATATGACAATTTTTATGTACTAGTTCATTTTTTATTTACTAAAAAAAAAATCACAGAAAAAAACAAAATAATTAAAAAAAAAATGTCCAAGAATAATTTTGATAATTTTTAAAAATATCTTTTTTATGATTGTTATTTGTTAAATTATAAACCATGTAATACTTCAAGTGTAAAATATTCTTTTTGCATTCAACTATATTTTTTGCATTCAACTATCAGAATTTTTTCACAAGTGTTAATATGTTTTAATTAATATATTTCAATCCTTTAATATTAATGCAGTTTGTGCAATCAAACTGGAATCGGAAATATTATACAATACATTTTCTATAAATTCATGCGATTACAATACCATGAATAACTTCTATACCGCATACGACCTAATGATCAATTTATAATGAAATTAAATGTAGCCTGACAAAGCTACATTTTGATATAGTAGACAGTATGCGGCGTCGTTTCCGACAATAGAATGAACCGTATGGTATAAATTGTATTTCAAAATCAATACCGCCAATGCGCCACTATGCTTTAGTTAAATTAGAATTTCACAGCAATATGCACCCAATACGCGTAAATATATTAGCATAAAATATATGTAATCAGTATTGGCACATTGTTACAAACGAGACAATATGGAAATATAAATAGAAATTGACGCATTATACATTACTATTAATCAAACAAATAGATATATAACTAATTCATATCGTTAAAGAATTGCTTCTAATTAAGATTCTGAATAATATAAATTTGATATAACAAAAATATGAACAGGTTTGCAAAAATTACTGTAAAGAAAACGGAATACTGTAATAGCTAACGTTTGCGCTATTTAATTGTAAAATATGCAACCGCAAATGAAAATACGAGAATATGTGATTTCGAATGAATTGTGAACGAAAAGATCTGAGCTTCAGCAGCACTAGTATCGTCAGTCTGTGCTTTAACTTTTGTCAGAACGGACCGTATAAATAATGCCGATACGAATAAATGTTTGCAATGAAAGCAGAGAAACGTTCGCGGAGTCTAGTTCGTTACTCCGCGCGTTCGCCCTGCCGTTTTTCCGCTGACAAAGTAAACTCGATACATTTTGAAACGCAAAACAACCCGAGAACTAAAGTCTGAATGGCTAGTCAGTTGCGTGCAGCAGTTTCGCCACGACTAGTAGTAACTGTATTCATCTGGCCGGCCGCAACAACTGGCATTATTAATGCTTTCATATCGACCACATGCTACATTCACGGATTATAGACACGCTGGAAACGTACGAATAGTA